CCATAACACATCTTTTGTTGATGCTGATATTAAATCTCAAAACATTTTGTACATTTAAAAGAATCTGGAGGTTCTCACATCGAAATGTCAGGCTACCTCTGGTWAAGACACGAAATTTAAAGAAGTCACTCTTGAAAACACTTCAAATTAGGAACCTGGAGCGATATTCTATCTTCCCATCTTCCTCCATTTCCACAAAATAGCTAGCCCGACCACACGCTCAYAGAGCGTCTAGTTTACCATTATTTACCGTTTCTGCTAGCGAAACACAATTTTTTTTCTATAAATTTAAGTAAAAAGTATTAATACTACTTAAAGTTAGTCAAAAGTTATACGTTTTTCATATATTTTAAATTTAAGAACAAGTTTTAAAAAATCTTAACACAGGGAGCCCAATCAGTGTTTTTTGAGAAATTTTACTCCCCCTAAAACTCGCTTCCAAGTTACAGTTTCGTTGGGCACACGCCATAGACTACATTTATGCAAAGTTTGGTGCTTTTGTAACTCCGGTATAGATCTGCCTAAAATATTGCACTAAGCTACCGGACTATTAATGCTTTTCACCCTTTGACAACCCATAAAAATAGTTAGCRTAAAGCGTTAAATGAGAGCTCTTACCATGCATTTTTAAAAAAGGATCGTCATACAGCGGGATACTTTGAGCCACCTGCAGACATAGAGCAAGATTACAACTTGACTCACTCTGAAGAGGTGAACGGGACAACCACCCTAGAATTTTACAGGAAAAGACTAACAAGAGATCCTAAGGACATGGAAATTAAGGTACATTAAGCTACAATGAAAATGCACCGCACCAGAGGTACATAACAAGACAGCATGACAACAYCACAACGCACGCAAATATAACATGGCATCTAATTGCCCCTTGATGATTCTGCTTCATGAGATAAGAAAACAAAATTTAGTCAATGAATGTTTAGAAAGTTAAGTTTTCATTTTTGCTTTAAACAATAGAAAATATGGCAAACAACACCAAACATTAAGCCACACACCTTCTTAAGGGCAGTTTGTAGCTCTCTTAGAAGAGGATGTAATTTAGACAACTATAATTCAAGATAATATTTCTAGTCTTTTCTCTTCGTCAGCTCGGCCCAATGTTGGTGGTATACGCCTATCATTCCAAGTCTGATTACCCTCTGCCGTACAGAACGCAACATGACCACCAAGGGTTTAAAACCGTTGAGATTCTGCCAAATGATACCTTGTTGCCCGGCAACCTGTCTTCGTTAGGTGTGAAAAACAGTTCGCCGCACAAAACAGCCACTAAGGTGTTTTTGTCACCACATGTGCCCTCAACTTCATCCTCGTTATCATTGACGTCTCTTTTCTCTTCAACGTCGATAGTATCAGCACTTCAAGTATTGTCGACATCATCATCATCATCTCCACTACCTATAACATTAACAGCCACAAAATTCTTGTCTTCGTCGTCAACACCACACTTTTCATCACTACCGAAGTTTTCGGTGCGCTCATCATCTTCCATGTTTTGGTCGTCACTGGAGATACCACAGCCGTCATCATCCACGTCCCACCAACCATTATCTTCATCATCATCCACTCTACCATTGCTACCTCTAGTGCACCCTTCATCATTATCATCACTATTGTCTCCATCTCCCTCTTATTCGCGAACTGGTAAGTATTTAATCAAAATCTTTCAAAAGATATCAATTTTGAATGTTTTTTAATCAACTTTCGCTAACCCTCTAGCAAAGGTATCCCGACGAAGTACTGCATTGAGCACGTCAATTGTCGGTGAGTTTRAAACAAAGGAAAACAATACGATAGAGCAAACGAAGGAAAACCATGAAATAAAATCAAACTAAATACTAACAAAGAGCGATTTATTAGAG